ATCTAAAAGAGGAGATACTCAACTGGTTAATTATAGCACAGGGTAACTAATTAAGTGCCATGATTTTCTAGTATAACTAATAACCACGCCTTAGAGCAGTGATTTACAAAGTTTAGTCTGAGGACCCCTTTACACTTTTACAAATAATCGAGGACTCCAAATAGCTTTTGTTTATGTCGGTTATATCTGTTGATAAATACTGGGTTAGAGCCTAAAACAAAAGTTTTTGAAATATGTATTCATTACTTCATTTAAATAATAAACAAAATATTTATGAAAAATAAATACATTTTCCAAACTAAGAAGAGTGAGTGAGAAGAATGACATTGTTTTGCATTTTTGCAAAGCCTCTCTAATGTCTGGCTTACCAGAAGGAATTAACTTTTCATACCTGCTTCTGCATCCAATTGTTGCAATATCACATGCCATGTAACCGCTGAAAAACTCCACTGTATACTCATGAGAGAATGAGTTTGAAAAAGGCATATAATAGGTTAGCATTATTATGAAAGTCATTTTGATCTCACAGACCACCTGCAAACATCTCTCTGCCAAGAGTCTGACCCTTAGAAGTCCCAGATCATTCTTTAAAAGTCACCGTCTCAGGGCTTAGCACTCATATGTCATACCCTATCTTCTAACTTTGGCATACATTAGGTATGTTGTCAAAGGGAGAGTTTATAATGCCTCTTTTTTTCCCAGTCTTCCTGAAAATGTTTGCAACCTGATAGTTGACTCTATTGGTCCTGCTTAGTAGACCTGACGTACACTGCTATGGCTTGGATGGGAGAGTATCTGATGCTCCTCCAACTATCAGAGAGATCAAAGACGTTAAGAGCATGGACTCGTTTGGATGGAGTTAGACCTCTTTCTTAGCCACAGCGGCAAAAATTCACAGGCAAATCTCTTAGCCTCCCTTGCATTTAGGCGTCGACATATAGCTGAGTTCTAGTTCAGTGAAATGTTAATTAAAATATTTGCTATTCCTAGACCTGGCAAATAAAAAAAGAACTCAGACACATGTTATTCCATGCTCTTTTCCCCTTCTGGCTGCAGAAATAGATACAACTCCCAGCTGACCACAGAATCTAGCAGTTCAACAGGTAGCTCATAACTAGGAAAGAGAGCTCACCTACAGATCGGCTCATATCTCAGTGCTATTATATAAGAAAAAGTAAACCCTGTTGTATTTGAGCCTTTACGAATTTGGGGATTTCGTTTATAATAGCAATTAATGTTACCGGAAGTAAGGCAGCCACTTGCTACTTATTCTGGGGATGGTTTCTCACTTTTGTGAGAAATGCCTCCATTTCCTCATCTCGAAATTGGAGAGACTAGTACTTACGTCACAGGGTTGATGCAAGGTTTAAGTGTGTTATAAATGGGCGGATGTATACAAGGTACATAAAACCCCGCTTTGCAAATAGTGAACACAGAATGTTGTTTACTTTTTGCCATAGTTGTATCTTGTCTCCTGACTATTGTGTACATATTTTAGCCAGTAAGCAGTGTCTAGGAGACACGTGACCAGGCTGGATTCCTTGACTGGACTTCAGTTATCTTTAGAACACTAACTTCTTAAGGCTACAATTCATGGGGACTTTTTTTTTTTTTAAAGATCTTATCTATTTGATAGAGAACACAAGTAGGCAGAGAGACAGGCTGAGAGAGGATGGGAAGCAGGCTCCCTGCCAAGCAGAGAGCCCGATGCAGGGCTTGATCCCAGGACCCTGGGATCAGGACCTGAGCTGAAGGCATAGGCTTTAATACACCGAGCCACCCAGGTGCCCCCATGGGGAAATTTTTTGAAAGGACTATGTGTCTCCACTGAACTTCTGTGTATCATATGATTCAATGTATCACTCATTTTAAAAGAGCTTGGCAAGTTACTTTTTGGTTTTGTTTCTCGGTTTTACCTGGCAAAGTCAACTCTCTTGCTACCTTATACTGAAGATCCAGGAGTCCTGTGCCATGTATTGGAGGAAATCCTTAAATTGGAGGGGGATGGTCAATGTAAGTGTCCTAATTGAAACCTAATTCTGTTGTATATAGGCAACTATCCATCATCACGATTTTCTGGACAGTTGATGCAGATCAACAAATCACATGGGACTATCAAATAGTTTGACAGTATGTATATTAATATCTTCCTCTAAATATGTCCTTCTGGGTTGGATTAAAAAAGAATGCATAGATGGGTGAGCCTGGTGGTGGGTATTAAGGAGGGCATGTATTGCATGGAGCACTGGGTGTGGTATATAAACAATGAATCTTGGAACACTGAAAAAATAAAATTAAATTAAAAAAAAAAGAATGCATAGGTGCATATAGTGTGGATCCAGATGGGTGATTTATAATTTTATAGAATAGTAAATGCCTTGGAAACACACTTGATGGTTGTCCAAAGATAAAATGAAAAACTAGAAATCAGGTATTTTCTAGCTCAAAAAAGGAGAAAAATCTTTCCCATACTGGGAATACTGAAATTTAGTTGTGAATAATATGATTAAGCATTTCTTATGTACTTAAGGGTTATGAAAACACTGAGAGTCTAGTATTCTTGTTAAGGCACAAGATTCAGGATTGAATCCTGAATCTAGGATTCAATCCTAGGACTGATAACTTTTAAAATTGTTTTGATTGATTAGTCTTGTTCTTGAAGTGTTCTTCTTAGCAATTTTCATCAGAACTTTACATAGAAGAGAATAAATAATAAATAATAAACAAAAATACGGTATTTAACAATAACAGTACAATAAATAACTATTACTGATATTATGGGTAACACTTTGATGGTATTTTTTAAAAAGAAGAAATTATAGAAAAACAACAGGAAATTCATAGTTCATTTGCATCAAGATACAATGATGTCCTGAAATAATTCTCAGAGAAGGGCTGGAGTTCCAACACTTGCAGGTTACACAAGCAGATTTACCCTAAAGCTGATGAAGCTTGAATTTCAGAATTTGTTTACAAGAGCCCCCTTCAAGGTAGGCACAGTTACATATTTTTATAAAATTAGCAAATGTATAATGTTTAACTACAATTTTTTATGGTCTCTGTCTCTTGCCCCTTAAACTTGTCTTCTGTCTTATGTTTCCTTGTATTGATTGAAATAGGAGAGTGATCATGTACATTTTTGAAATCTAACTAAGAGGAAGCTGATTTGGGGAAATACTAAGTCCGGGTTCAGTAGCTATGTTTATTTGACTTCTGTCACTTCTATAAAAAAGTCATTAAGGTTTGAATAGGTCATTTTAACTGCAATTTGGGAAGATAAGGAATGTGAGAAATTACAGACTCCTAAGTTGGATACATGTAAAGGGAAGCTTTAAAGAAAGAGAAAGATCAGACAGAAAAATTAATGGAATATGAAACAAAAGTTGTAAAACTGAACAACAGAATCACTTGAAATAGACTGCATTGAGAAGAGAATTATAACAAAATAAATTTTAAATTATAACAAAGGTAGTAAACTATTAAAAGAAAATGACGGATCTAGGATTGAAGCATAAATTATTACAAATTATGAAGATAGGTAACTCATAAATATATTGGAAAAATTTATACTTTCGCGGATGTGTAGATAAAATAGTGACATCATGATAATGTACAACTCAAATTCAATCCTATAATAAGGATATCCATGAAAAACTTGTTAATGATATTGTCAGTTCAACAAATATTTAAGATGAGTCACTGCAAATCACCTTAAGACAAGAAAACTTAAAATGCCCTTAAATCTTATAAAGATCCTTGGTAGATATTTCTCCAAATTTGACAATAATCCTAAATATTTACATAAAATTACAATAATAATAAATATTGAAGCTTAAAGCCACTTTCCAAAACTTGAAATAATTAAAAATGTTTTAATTAATCGCATGACAGGAAAAATGAGTTGTCTTTCTAGAGCTAAATGGTACAAAACCATTGTTCCATGAAGTGGTGATCAAAGATGTAAGTTAAATGTGTCAGGAGGAGAAAAGAGGGATGTCAGAAGTTATAGAATCCAAACATAACTATTTTTATGTTGGTGGGATTTGCTAGATTTCCTTTCTTTGATTTGTAATTTTTATAATTAGTGTCTCCTTCTAAGTAAATATTATTTTTATATTTTGTCTTATCTTAATCATTTCATTTTCTTTCCTTAAAAAGGGTACCCCAAATTGTATAACTTTCAGGCACCCTAAAATCTGTATCTGACTACCATGTGATCTTGGACACTGTCTAATCTCTATGTCTCAGTTTCCTCATTTTTAAAATGTAAACAATAATAGTATCTATCTAGTAAGATAGTTATAAGGATTAATAGAAAAAAAGAGACTAATTGAGGTAATTATGTATAAAACATTGGGCATAGTACCTGGCTGATAGTAAGTACTCCATCAATGATAATGATTATTCTTACAATTAGTGTTAATTTACGGGGTCCCTGGGTGGCTCAGTTACTAAGCGTCTGCCTTCAGCTCAGGTCATGGTTCTGGGATCTAGCCCTGTATCCGGCTCCCCACTTAGTGAGGAGCCTGCTTCTCCTTCTCCCTCTGACTGCTGCTCCCCCCACTTATGCTCATGCTCTCTCTGTCAAATAAATAAATAAATAAAAACTTTAAAAAATAGTTTTAAATTAATAGCCAAAAAAGAATATCAGAACAAAATAATTGATATAGTGTCATCAATAATAATTTTGCATAATGTTTGTATTTGCTAGGAAATATTCTCTTGATCCAGAACCAATGCATTCATGTGTGTTTTTGTTTACAGTGGATATGACACTTTTCAAGAGGAAAGCGTTTTAATCTGTTTTAATTAAATGCATCACATGAACGTAGAAAATGTGAATTTACATTTTTATTTGTGATATAATATGTACTTAAATTTTGCATTTGAGATAATTAACATGAGCTTTAACTCCTTATTTGCTTTATATCTAGGGCAAGATTTTCAACCTCCCTGTTTCTCAGATTCTCCACCCTGAAAGGTAGACAAGAGCTCCTTACCTGGAAGGCGGCTGTATGCCATGCCCTCTTCTTCTCCACCACAGCATTCTAAATCTTTGCTCACAATCTGTCCACCACAGCACTGCTGGCCATAGCCATCATGAAGCCTCCCAGCACAGCAAATCTGGTTTCCTGAGGAGGAGTAAGGCATTCTGCCGCAGCAGGAGTCACCGATGCCAGTGGAAACCCGATTGTGCTGTTCATCTGGACAACATACTTCACCTGTCAATTTAGGACAATAACAATCATTGCATAGTTAAAAAAATATGCTTTGACTCACAATGAAATTTTATCAGTCATATTGCAGATGCCAACTGGTTGATGGAATTATTAGAAAGAATGCTGTCATTTTGGAGTTGCAAAATTTCAATACAACTTAAAAATTTTTGTATTAAAGATGTATAAACGTATCTACTCATATACACAGGTGGTAACTTAGAAGTAACGCTATGTTGCCTATTTCCTCTCTCACCCCTAAGAAATTTGTACATTAGGTCTGGTAACATGATTAAGTAACATTACAAAAAAGTTTGTCCACAAATACTTTTCTATCTATGTCATGTATTTTTTTGGAAAGTGGAGTGGATTCAGAAATTAACCTAAAAGTTGGATCCCTTAGATTATGTTTTTTTAACCAATTTATAATCATTTAAGCAAACAAAATACTTTCAATGTGAAGATCAATTAAAAGAGAGGAGATAAAAATACTATATTCAAGTCAGCACATCAGTACTTGCTGGGCTGTGGCAGACATTGAATTTCACTAATGTAGTTGCACCCACACGCTCCCTTTATATGATATTCCGGGAAACTTGAAACAAGAATGAGATAGTCTTTTGCCTAGTGCCATGGTATCAAAGTTTAAATTTTATAAATGTCAATAGGCAGCATTTGTGGGGGTAGGAAGATGCTTTAAAAGACAGAACAACTCTAAAGGACAAAAAAAATAAATAAATTTCATCTTTTAAGGATATCTTGGAAAGGGCTACTAACAACTTGGTGGATCTAAAATTAAAACTATACTTCTCCTCTCTAGCTCATGACCTAACTCTCAGTTGACCTCCTTTCTGAACCCTTGGACCCTGACTCTCTCTTCCCTCTTGCCTCACTCTTCTTTTTTCTGTGTCTTCAACAGATCCTCTTCTCTTCACTTCACCCTTTAAAATGTATCTTTCTCCCTGGACAATATTCCTTCTTTTTATCTTATAAGGTCTATAAGTATACTGACCAACCTCTGACAGGTCTTAAAGCTCTAAACCATGGTCCAGATAAGATTTACATAATCTAGTTAATGACTTGCCAAACCTTAAGAAAAGGAAAACTCAAATTCACTAAAAAAAAAATTAGGATTCCCTTAGGAACTTATGGTCCTGGGCTTCCTGATCTTTATCAATTAGTTTATCTATGTGTGAGGTCGAAATATTCTAAAGCTTGGTTAGTAAAAACAAGATGAATTGCTTACCAAAATGATATTAAAAATATGGGGTAATATTTATCTATGGATACATATGTAAATAATATAAAAAATAGGAACAAGAATGCCTAGCAGGTATCCTTGAAGTCTTTCTTATCCATATTCATTGGTCAAAAATCCATTCTAGTAGATGAAATGTACAAATTACTAGAAATACACAACCTAAAAGACTGAATCATGAAGAAATAGAAATTTTGAATAGACCTATAACTATTAACAAGATTGAATCACTTATTAGAAACCTCCCAACAAAGAAAAACTCTAGACCAGATGGTTTCACTGGTGAATTTTACCAAACATTTAAAAAATTGATGCTAATCCTTCTCAAACTCTTCTAAGAAACTGAAGAGGAATAAATACTTCTTAACAAAATTTATGAGGTCAGCTTTGCCCTGATACCAAAACCAGACAAGACAATTTAAGAAAAAACAAAGCAAAAACTACAGACCAATATCCCTTATGAAAATTAATGTAAAAATCCTAACAAAATGCTAGCAAACTGAATTAAAGAGAATATTTAAATGATTATCCAACATAACCAAGTGGAATTTATTCCTGGAAAGAATGCAAAGATGGTTCAGTACATGAAAGTCAGGGTGATATACCATATTAACAGAATGAATAAAGAAAAACACAAGATTACCTCAAATGACGTAGCAAAAACACTTGACAAAATTCAACACTATTCTATTATAAAAACATTAAATAAACTAGGTATAGAAGGAAACTACCACAACACAAAACAGAGCATATATGAAAAACCCACAGCTAACATTATAATCAACAGTAAAGTTTTTCTCCTAAGATCAGGAAGACAAGGCTGTCAGCTTTTGCCACTTCTATTCAACATAATATTGGGACTTATAGCCAGAGCAATTAGACAAGAAAAAGAAATTAGGAACATCCTAACCAAAAAGGAAGGAGTAAAATTATCTCTGTTTATAGCAATGCAATTTTATATGTAGAAAACCCTAAAGATTCCACAAGAAACCTGTTAAGACTAATAAAAGAATTCAACAATTTGCAGGATATAAAACCAGCACGTAAAAATTAGTGTTTCTATACACTAAACATGAACAATCTGAAGAGGAAATTTTTTATAAAAAGTAATTCCATTTACAATAGTTTAAAAAATACTTAAGAATAAGCTTAACCAAGAAGGTGGAAGACTTGAACACTGAAAACTACAAAATGTTGATGAAAGAAATTAAAAAAGACACAAATAAATTTGACATCCCATGTTCATGGATCAGAAGATGATACTGTTAAGATGTCAGTACTACCCAAAGTGATCTACAGATTCAATGCAATCTCTATCAAAATCCCAACAATATTTTTTGCATAAATAGAAAGTCTATCCCCAAGTTGCAATGGAATCTCAAGGACCCCAAATAGCCAAAACAATTTTGAAAAAGAACAAAGTTGGAGGTCTCACACTTCCTCATTTCAAAACTTACTATAAAGATACAATCAATGCTACAAAGATACAATTAATAATCAAAATGGTGGGGGCACCTGGGCGGCTCAGTGGGTTAAAGCCTCTGCTTTCGGCTCAGGTCATGATCCCAGGGTCCTGGGATCGAGCCCCGCATTGGGCTCTCTGCTAGGCAGGGAGCCTGCTTCTCTGCCTCTCTCTCTGCCTACTTGTGATCTCTCTCTCTGTGTCAAATAAATAAATAAAATCTTAAAAAAAATAATCAAAATGGTGTGGTCCTTGTACAAAGACAGACATATAGACTGACGGAATAGAATAGAGAGCCTAGAAATGAAACTACAAAAATAACCAAATAATTTTCAACAAGGGTGTCAAGACCATTCAATGATGAAAGGACTATCTTTTCAACAAATGGTCCTTGGAAAAATAAATATACACATGCAAAAGAATGAAGTTGAACCCTTACCTTATATCATGTACAAAAATTAATTCAACATGGACCAAAGACCTGAATGTAAAGATAAAATTACAAAATTCTTAGAAGAAACATAAGGGGAAATCTTCAAGACATTGGACTTGGCAATAATTTATTGATTATGACATCAAAAGTACAAGGCAACAAAAGAAAAATAGATGTATTGCACCTCATCATAATTTAAAAGTGTTATGCATCAAAAGACATTACTGACTGTATAAAAAGGCAAACCATAGGAGAAAATATTTGTAAGTTATATAACTGATAAGGGACAAACACCCAACATTTCCAAAGAATTCCTGTGACTCAGCAACGAAAACACAAACAACCCATTAAAAAAAATGGCTAGAAGACTCATATAGATATTTCTCCAAAGAAGATGTACAGATGGCCACTAATCATATGGAAAGATGTTGAATATTTTTAATTATTAAGAAAATGCATATCAAAATCGCTATGAGATACTACTTCATAGTCAGAAAGAACAGCTATTATAAAATAAAGAAACAGAAAATAATATGTTACCAAGAAATTAGAGAAATTGGGTCTTCTGCATATAATAAACTTGCACATTATTGTGGGGAATATAATATAGTATAGCTTCTGTGAAAAACACTAAGGCAGTTCCTAAAAAAATTTCACACAGAATTTTATGATCCCGGAATTTCACTTCTGAGTATAAAGTTAAAAAAATATATGCAAAGCAGGACTCAAACAGGTATTTGTACACCAATGTTCATAGCAGTATTGTTCACAAAAGTCATAAGGTGGAAACAATCCAAATATTCATCAGTAGATGAATGGACAAAGAAAACGTGGTATATCCATACTATGGAATGTTATTCAGTCTGAAAGACAAAAGAAATTCTCACATGTTTTAGAATACAGATGAACCCTGAAAACATATTAAGTGTATGTGAGTGTATATGAAGTGTATATGAAGTACGCAGAGTAGTCAAATTTATAGAGACAGAAAATAGAATGGTCATTGTCAGGGGCCAGGGGCTAGGGACAACGGGGAGTTAATGTTTAATGGAAACAGAGTTTCAGTTTGGGAAGATAAAATGTTCTGGAAATGGTGGTGGTGGTGATTGCACAACCATGTGAATATACTCAGTGCTGCTGAAATATGCACCTAAAATGGTGAAAATTATAAATTTTGTTATGTATACTTTACTACAATAAAAAAGTCCAGATCTATAAACAGGAAACATAATTCCATGCCTAGTTTCAGAGACCGCTTAGCTACCATTAGGAATACTCTGTTCTCAATGGAAGTCAAGATTTCAATAATTCCTTGGAAATCAGAAGATAGGATAGTAGACAATGTCTTCTCTCTAAATTAGAAGAACTTGATGAGCACTTGGAAGATACTTTGGCTCATAAAAAAAGAAAAAATGGATCAAATTAATAGATTTTCAGATTAAGCAATTAAATAAAGAAAGAACAAGGACATATCCATGTCTAGTCTACACAAAGATGAATGTCAATTTGTAAGGAAAAGGGACACTGGAAGAACATTTGCTCTACTTTAGCTAGAAAGAATCAAAAAAGGAAAAAGACAAACACTGGCTGGCATAAGAACCTCTTTCTGTGAAAGCAGCTGTTCTGGTCAATCCATAACTGCCTTTGCCACACAAAAAAGGAACTTTTCATGCAGTGGTAGAAACTGAAGTTTTCATATCTAATTGATATTGGGGTTACACTATTATAAATTCTACTATGTTTCTATCATTCCTTCCTAGGAATAACCTGTCTCAGAGGTAGACATTTCAAATACATTCCAGACTCTCCCTTTGTCTTTGTCTTCTCTTTAATCAACATACTTTTCTGCTAAC